TCATATTGATATGGAAGCATTCTCAGATAGTGTAGATTTAACTTTGTTCGAATCATGACTCCCAGGGTAAGGGTGGGGCTACAATGGGGGGTCAACGTTTTACATAGGAATATATAGGAAAAAATCTTTTCAACAACAGGAAAATCTCCTTCTCAAGAACAGCAAAGCCTTGTTAAGTCATATTGATATGGAAGCATTCTCAGATAGTGTAGATTTAACTTTGTTCGAATCATGACCCCCAGGGTTAGGGTGGGGCCACAATGGGGAATCAACGTTTTAACAAGGGAATATATAGGAAAAAAATCTTGAGAAATCCTCTTCTCAAGAACAACAAAGCCACAATTAGTCATACTGATGTAGATTCATCCTCAGGTAGTGCAGATTCAAGTTTGTATCAAATCATGACCCCTGGGGATAGGGTGGGGCCACAATGGGCGATCAAAGTTTTACATAGGAATATACAGAAAAAAAAAACTTGAAAAATCTTCTTCTCAAGAACAGCAAAGCTTTGTTAAGTCATATTGATATGGAAGCATTCTCAGATAGTGTAGATTTAACTTTGTTTCAAACATGACCCCCAGGGTTAGGGTGGGGCCACAATGGGGGGTCAGTGTTTTACATAGGAATATATAGAAAAAAATCTTGAAAAATCTTCTTCTCAAGAACAGCAAAGCCTTGTTAAGTCATATTGATATGGAAGCATTCTCAGATAGTGTAGATTTAACTTTGTTCGAAATCATGACCCCCAGGGTTAGGGTGGGGCCAAAATGGGGGATCAACGTTTTAACAAGGGAATATATAGGAAAAAAATCTTTAAAAATCTTCTGCTCAAGAACAGCAAAGCCATTTGTTATATTGATATGGAAGCATCCTCAGGTAGTTTAAAATCCAAGCCCCCCCCCCCCCCTTTAAACTTTTCAATACTGAAGTGGTTTGTGCTTTTTCCTAGCCAATGTGCTCAGGTGAGCGATGTGGCCCATGGGCCTCTTGTTACCATGTGACCTTGACCTTGAAGTTCAACTATCATTTGGTAAATAATAACATTGGTGATAACTTTTGAATGAGAGAAGACAAGGTGTTCATATTTGACATGTGCATTACTTGTGACAAGACCTTTCCAAATTTGCTATCATTTTTGAACCCTTGACCTTGCAGTTTGACCTACAAGTGTACTTTTCAAAAATTTTCACACTGGGGATAACTTTAGAATGAGAAGATAGGGCATTGATATTTGACATGTGCATTACCTTTTACAAAACCTTTTCAAATATACCAGGTACTTTGATTTTTGACCCTGTGACCTTGACCTTAAAGTTTAACTTATTTTTGAAAATTTTTACATTGGTGATAACTTTTAAATGAGAGAAGATAGCTCTCATATTTTATTGAAATTTTCCAAGAAATTCACATGATTTCTACCTGCGGATTTAACAAAAATTCTGATTCTATGGAATTTTGACCCTATGGAAGAAAGTACTTTTACAATAAATATTTCAATAGAGTAGGTAATGATAGAGATGGCATTTCCTAGTGTCCTTTAGATATTAATTACAAGAGGGTTACGTAAGAATTAGCCAAAAAGGCAATATTCACTTGAATTCAGATATTATTTGATATTTTATTGCCATATAATTTGATACACCACTGTCATCCTGATCTGTCATTGCTTCGCATGTTTTCTATCTTTCTCAATTTACTAGATATTTTTCTTCTATTTTCACAGGTTACAGACTGTCAGATAAGTTCTATGAAATCTTAATCAGAAAATTTGACAGACAAGGGCGAGGGACTGTGGCATTTGATGACTTCATCCAGTGCTGTGTGGTTCTACAGGTCTGTTCACTCTACCCTCTAATTTAGGCATACAGTATTACAGGATTGCTTCTTCTTATTATTATACCTCCTGCTTGAAAAGTTGGGGTATATAGCGATGGGGGTACCTGTCCTTACATCCCTCCATCTGTCCTTCAGTCCTTTTACGCTTGGGGGTACCCATCTCTTATCTGCGACTCTTCCTTTACCACTGAATAAAATTTAATGATTCTTTCCCAGAATCTTTATTACATAGTGTCAATGTGCACCTCCTATTTTATGTATTGATCAGACACATATTTGGTCTTTCCAATAGCAAAACATGGACACTCCAATTCTTTCTATGATATTGGGGCATCCATCTCTTTTTTGCAGCTCCTCCTTTACCACTGAATTAAATTTAATCAGAATCTTAATTACATAGTATCATGATGCACCCTTATTTAACTCTTTGATCAGAACATATTTGGGCTATCCCATAGCCAAACATGGACTTTGCCATTATACTTTTAATTGAGCAGGGGGTATTATTTTGTGAGCTAATGGCTCACAGTACCTTTAGTTTTTTTTTAAATCAATTTCTTTACCAGCCATGTACCAATAAATCTTTAGCATGTTTTTGTATTATTTTATAGTCCCTTTTCTGTCAGCAGTATATGAACAATCTGCGAGAATGAAATACAAGAAAACTGTATTGTGTTTTATATACTTGCAGACCCTGACCAATGCCTTTAGATACTATGACACAGATCAAGACGGATGGATTCAGATTGGATATGAACAATTCCTGATGCTTGTGTTCAACCTCAGATCGTGATCAGCCTAGAGCTGAAATCCACCCTGTGTATACTAATAATATAGCTTTTTTTCTATTTTATACATTGTACATGTATATAAATTATAAGCAATAAGTAATTTTCAAATTGTTATAAGGATTCCCAATAGCAATGAAATTTTCTTTAAATACAATGTATGAATTATTCTCTGCTGAGCTGGGAAGAACATCGGTTAACTTTAACACTCTTGTAAAATGCATATGATATATAAAACATTTTTATATTTGCTTCTGTGGAACAGATTACTTACATGTATCACGTTAATGGTGCAGTTATTCCAATGTACTTGTTAACACAGATAGATTTTAAACCATGTAGAATTTCTGTTACAATCTGCAGATTGCAGTCACATAGTAGGTAAAGCATTATGTGCCTATACAAGACAAGTGGAAATCTTAACTGCTAGAACTTTAGTATAGTAGATAACTTTTTAGCATATTTTAGATGTTACAATTTTCAATATTAACTGACTTTGGTTCGCAAGGAATATTAAACTTAATTAACAAAGTGTATTTTTGTCTCAATTAAGTTTCACTGTGGTTATTCACCAATACTGTAATCAGGGCTTATATTTATTCTCCTTTGAACAATAATTAATGGAACACTTCAGAATCTGGTGCTGAGATGACTTTTGAAATTATATGGTATCGTATTAATCATTTCCTTTATACATGTACTACATTCTTTGTTGCTGTTTCTTGTGTTGATAATTGTCAATAATTGTCATTTGTATACTGTGTGGAATTTTACATGTAAACTTACTATTAAAAATCAGTAGTTGCTACTATAGTTTCATCTATAAAAATAAACCTATATGTTAGTAAAATTTTATTTTTTTTGGGGGGGGGGGAGCTTTGTTGAATGTCAGAAGAAAATGCCACGAGTTGTAGTTTTGCCATCTTAAAATAATGTGGAAAGGTGCAATAAAAATTTGAGAGCAAAAGAGAAGTGTCTAAGACAAACTTATCAAATTCATTAATATGTGTCAGAATTTTGTACATATGTTCAGTGCAAAAAAGGGAACCATGCATTTCTATTATAATGGGGAAGTATTAGTTTTATTGAGATTTCTGTACAACCAATTATTCAAGTCGTTGTTAGTTTTATTATTGTAATTCATCTGTAATAACAGCATAAATATATTGTCCCTGGGCAGATAGGATTTCAGGAAATCCAGTAAAAAAACAAAGTTCATGAAATTTCTGTATTTTAGGAAATATTAACATCTATTCGATTTTAAGACTTAAGTAGCCTTTCAATAGTTTTTGAGAGAGAAAAAAAAAATAAAACTCCAAAGTAAGAAATCAAAAAACGCCATGAGCCCTCTGTATTGATCAAGTAACAATATTCTGTAGTCAAATTTAGTATAAAAACAAAGACCTAACAATTGGTATTACATTGGTATATCAGTCAAAATATGACCCAACGATAGATTATATTTGCCAACAAGGTCATTATAATGACCATATAATTTACGAAATGTGGACTTTAATCGAGGTTATCAAAATTCCTGTAACATCAACTTATCTGTCAGTAGCCTGCCTCACTTTAAGCATGCTCTTGAATATTACATAAGTTTGGAGACAAACACCACATGCAAGTGAATGCGGAATGTTCCTACATGAATAAGAAATTCAAAGTTGATTGAAATGCTGAAGTCATTTACCATACAATTTAGTTGTTGGTTGGCTCTTACCATCTATATAGTCAGTGAAACATGGAAATATGAAATAGACGTGGCAAACTCTGTGGCATCTTTTATTTTAAGTTCATTGCTATACAATGTATATCGAATCAACATTTGAATGGAAGTAACTACATTGTTAATTGATAAAACATTGATATATTTGAATGTCGAGTTGAAGGCAGCAAGCGTTCTCATGTAGAAGTTTTGAATAAATTCTGCTTCATAGGAATATAAAAACAGGTTGGCTAATAAAGGAGGATTAAAGGACATAAAACTGAGATATTATTTATCACAGGCTTAGAAGAAAGGACTTTCTTCTAAAAAAAAATTCATTTTTAAGAAAATGAAAATCAGTCTTCTCAATTTAGAGGCATTAACTATTCATCTATGCTGCAGTCTGTTAATCGACTGTTGTACAATTCCCCAAGACTGAATGTATACTGCTCTTGGTTTGTCTCTCTGTCTACAACTTTAACCCCTCGCAAAACTTTTGAAAACAAAACTGAGACCTCATACTTGGCAGAAAGATAGCTTATACAAATGAGTTAAGGCTAGGTATGGGCATTTCTATGCAGATGAGCTAATTAAAAGGGATGCCTTTTATACAGAGATTCCTAATTATAGATATTTTGCTGCCCAGACATTTTATAGTCAATACACATTATGATGTCTTGTTATGATGTCATTGTTCTCTTACTCAGGTAATAAAAAAACATCAATAAAACAGCTTCAGCGTAAGGGCATACATATGTAATGTTTACAGATATGTGGTATTAAGTAAGATGAATTTCCAAAGATTAAAGAAATAGCTACTCAAATCCGATGCATTATCTTACTTAATAAAAAGATAAAGAAACTTACAGAGGACTATTCATTTTTATTGTGTTTCAACTAAAAACTCCAAAAATAGTAACCTAACAGTTTTATTGAACTGACATTTGTGCAGCAATGGCATTTATCTTTGGAATATTCTTATTTTTAAATCTCTTTCTAGTAAAATGAAATGAGTATGCCCTTGCACTAAAGCTGTTTTGTTTATATTCTTCAAGTAGTAATGTACATGTACAATGATGTCATAATTTGTATTGGCAGGTCAGGGGCACTTACTGTGTATATATTATAAAAGCAAGTTTAAACATTCTCTATATATTAGACAAACCTCTTATGTGTTTTAACTTGACAATTTGCAAAGAAACACCTCTACTTATTAACTCACTTGCCTATAGGGACTTTTAAACATGACCTCTTTGCAATAAAGAAACATACTCAAATTTACTGGTTAATATGTTTTTGGAAATTAGGTCTGCTACCATTATAGTACATGTATGTAGTACTGTATGAAAGATAAAAGGACAGGCTTGATTTTCATTCAAAAAAATGAGTAGTACATGAGAAATACAGCCCATATAGAATTTAGAAGGACTATAAGATACATATTTGGTACCAGAACAGACATGTAAAAGATACCTATACACTTTATCTGGAACTTTTTTATGACATACCAAATTTTGCAAACTGTACAGAAGTACCTTCTATTAAAATAACATGTCTTCATTTTTTACATTCACAGGAGTCTTAAGTTTTTATTGTGGAAAAAAAAGTATCGGAAAAAAATATTCCACCCTCAAATAGAAGAGGGTGGAAAATTTTTTCCAGTATCTTTTTTTTTTCACGATAAAGACTTCAGACACCTGTTTAGCATTCAATAGTTAATTAAGGACAAGTTTAAATTTTTTGCAGACAAACAGATGCAGACAGATGGACAAACAGGCCAAAAACTATATGCCCCTGAATCTTGATTATGGGGCCATAAAAATTAAACTAAATAAATGACGCATATAATATTTAATGCTCATAAGAAAATTTTCTATAACAAATTCTGATTACATTGACATTCACAGATTAAAATGTATACATTACACAGTGCATAGTCAAGTATAAATACATGGTTCTACAAAATAACAAGTAAACTTGTATATAAAAATACATCTTTACAGAGTGATTTTTTTCCACTGGGATTCTGAAATACAAAGCAGTAAAGGTCTATGGCAGGTGCAGAATTTGCATACATCTTGGCAAATACATGTATCTATTTTAAACTTTCACAAGACTACAGTCATTTCTGAGATACAAGATTTCAAAATTAGATCACGTAAAAATGAGCTCCTAGGTAAAATATATGCTATATAATATCATCTAGTGTTATCTAAATATCAAATGTCTTATTTTAAGAGGAAAAAAATATGGAGGGAGTCCCACATTTTTATGGCAAACAGAATACTTTGTAAAACACTGTGCATACAGTTCTTAAAAAATAAAATATTCTTTCAATTTGTTCCTAGTTGTACTTTACTCATACAGGATTTAATCTGAAGTAAAAAAAAAAAAACAATAAATATATATGGTTTCAACAATGAAATTATGATATTTTCCCTGAGCAGCTGAGATTTTTATATATTGATTTTGAACCATTAGCCTACCTTTTCTGCTCTTTTTCTATGATTCCTCTAATTTCTTCTAAAGATGGCACTCGTCCTAACCAGACCAAAATACGAAGATATAGAATTCCCAGCCATATTTTAAAGTTCTCAGCCCTGATGCGATAGTCATAATGTAGCATCTCTAACCATGCTTTTATCTTCCCTGACCAGGTTATATCCTGAATGCCAAACTTACGTGCACCTCTCATTGCACTGCAGCAGAATGAAATACTCTTACAATATTAAACCAACAAGGGACAAAAAAATTTACGATAATTCTGTATTCAAATATTTTTTTAATAAAAATATTCAGTTAATATTATATTAGAGTATAAAATACTGTCAAGTTGAATCATAAATTTAAAATACCGGTACATCACAACTCTGTCTGCAATTAATCATCCTATATGATATCATTTATTTAGATACAATTCAACCACTCGCTGACTGTTTACATGTTTACCTCTTTGCCATAATACCATATCTGTCCACTACATGACCATGTTCCTGACATATTGCTCTAATGGTGTTCATATTCCTGTAAAAACCTCATACATATCAAACAATGGATTCTTACAAATTCAAAATACATTATTTTATTTCTTGTGTTACTTTAACAAATAATGATTTGCTTCATTCACAAATACAGGTATTATTTTTTTCAGAAAAAAATGAAGTAAAAAATTTTTCAATTTAAAAAAAGGGATTGTTCCTGGTCTAAAATGCAAATGCTTTTGGGTAAATAGTTTACATTTTATTTCAAATACATAGATGCTTAAATGCAAAAATCAATGGCATCAGCTTATGACAGCACAAAATGTAGGTGATTTAGATCTGTGATGATTAAATGAACATTGTTTCAAAAGGAAGTATTTTTACATGTATTTCAGTCTATTTTAACTTTCCCTGGTTAGACATAAAAATATTTACATATTCTTTTCAGAGAAAGTGACATTTGTGAAAGAGTGGGACTGAATTTCATCTCATGATGTGCATTGATCTATAAATGTATATAATGAAATAAGCTTTTGATACACAAAATTTATGTGAAGCAGATAAAAAAAAAATTAACTAACCTAATTATAAGAATTATAGGTCTAGGCATGTCTTTCAAAACTTGCATGATTTTATCAAAATGTTTGTGTGCCATTATTCTCATATGTTCAAAATCTTCTTTGGTCATGTGACTTGGTAAGTACGTGGCAGACCTACTAACTGGGCGCTGCACAAGTATCTCACAAAATATTTCTTCATCTAAAATGTACATTAATGCACACCATTATTCATTATCCTTTTAATAGTTATGTTCTATTTAATATTCCTGAATGACATCTGCAAAAAATGTCCATCTCCTGGATTCAAAAATCTACAAAAAAACTTGAAATAACCAAGCTTATTTCATTATATACCTAAAATACCTGATTAATTAAAACCACTATCTTTCCACCAGCCTGCATGTACGTATCAGTTAACAACATGCACTTTATTCAGGAATCTGATATATAAACATTACTTTTAATGAAAGCATTAGGTAGTAAACCAAATATCACATCAACAATGTGCTTAAGAAGTATAATAGGTAAATCCTCTTTTGGTAAGGAACACACTCTGTGGATGATATTTGGAAGTACAACACTGTTTCACATTTACCTAAAAATAAAGAAAAGACCAGTCGGCATCTGTCTTACTACAAGACGAATTCGATCATGGAGGGCATGGTAGTCTTCTAACCACTCAGCCTTGATCTCTGGAGGTAGTTCATAAAATTCCTTCTTTGTCAAGATTTTGTGTCGAAACAATGGAGGTGCTTTCTCAAACACAACCCTGCCCTGCTTTGTTAGAAGGCAGAATACCTGATAATCTTCCAAAAGCAAACAAAAGTACAGGTATTAGTATAGAGTACATACATATTACATACCAGTGTATTGCAAACATACAAGTACCTGCTTTAGAACATTGTCAATGTTAAGTTATCTTGCAGAAATGTTAGCATTATTGATTATGCAAGTACATGAAGACCATTACCAGCACTGCACTTAAGATATGTATTATCTGGATTCTTAACTGGTTGTGGAAAATCAACTAAATTTGGATCAAGTTATTGTACAATATACTTAGAGTACATGTAATTTATGGATATAGAAATATCTCTGCTGGGTGACCAAATCTACATGATCATGCAGGGATAGACATTAACTTTTAGATTTACTTGCCCTTCGGGCAAGTTATCTCAAACTTTGACTTGTCCGAATGCAAAACTTGGTTGCAAAAATAAGGAAAGAACTTCAGAATAAATTTCTATTACTGTAAATGTTATGACAAAAAAAAAAAAAAAGACCAAATACACTACTGTCAATTTGGCAAGGTAAGGTACCTGAAAAAATTTCCATGATGCGTTTGTACATAAATGTATACCACTGTCCTTGTAAATTTAGCCTGTTATTGCTATATATCGTAGTGTGTGTTAACAAAATTCATATTTTTAAACTTATTTTCGGTAGGATTCTTTTGTGAATCGTGATTTTCTGAGATAACTGTAAAACAACGCTGAAGGAAGATAGTTGCTTCATAACATACATCGATCTTTACCTTAATGATCAGGATACATCGTGTTACTCTGTACTTATACTCTGTGAGTGAATAAATAATCTAATATCCAAATTTCCAGAGATGTTAGACGAAGAGCATATTTACTAGGGGAAAAAACGGAATAACGAACCGGATTTTCAAATGAAAGGCATAATCCAGAAATGCTGACAAGGAATTCCGAATGCAAAAACAATGTCAGTCAGGTACCTGGTGGAAATCAAGTCTTCAATTTGTTGGTTGTTTTTTTTTAATATAAATTAATGTAAACTAAATAAATAGGCCTATGCACATTTCTATGAGAAAAATTCACTTGCCCGATCGGACAAGTACGTCGTAAGATTCACTTGCCCGAACTGAGAATTTACTTGTCCCGGGCAATCGGACAACCGTTAATGTCGATCCCTGTCATGTGTTCTAAACAACAAATTTTAATTGACTGACATTAAAATTACAATAAAAAAAATGTACAGTGTAACAAACTTAAATTCATTCTGTACATTTAGGTAATGAGAAAAGATCATGCATTTATAGTTACTAAATACAATTCTTAAATAAGTAATACATGTAAAACCAGAGTCTCTGATGAGACTGAAGCTCTACTGGTGTGTACATACTTGGTACTTTTGTACCAAGTCTTATTGATATTGGACCAAATCTGTAGGAGGAGTAGTGTTTTGAAAGAATTTTAAATTTTTTTTCTATTTTTAGTAACCATGGCAACACTGTTTGTTGAAATCAAAAACCGATAAAAAGAATTACAGGTACGTATCACAGTATAGTGTACTTGTGTACTGAATCTTATCTAAACTGTAAAAGGATCGAGTAACGTTTTGAAAAATTGTTTATAGACAGATCGACAGCTAGACGAACACCTTACTATCACATATAAAGCTCTTCTGGTTTCTAACCAGTAGAGCTAAAAATGTACATGTCAAACACTTAAAGGGTTTTTATCACGTATCAAATTTTTTTGATATAACAAAGTTTACATGTTTTTAAAATCATATATTTAAAAATCTTTGCTAGAAAATTCATACTGTTGATGTTTCAGTGATTCAAAGTTTGAATTTCTCAATATGCATATTTTGATCACCGATGTTATGCGCCATTGCTCTGACATCATAGGTGTCAATCCTGGTCAAGCAAAGTACTTATTGTGTATACAAAACGGCTCATTCGTTGTGCCTATTAAACCTGTTAGTAAATAAATAAGTGATAATTGGATAATTGACAGCTAGTAAGGTATAATTTGTGACTTTAGGATGCACAAATGCGCACAAGAAAGGTTTTAGGAAGACTTTTTTCCACATTTCCTGGACTTGGTCAAGAAGTGAAAGGGGACCCTTTTTTCTGAGGGTTTTGTCTCCATTCAGAACAATTTTTTATGCCCGATCATGATTTTTTCTGTACTATAAAATATTTTAAGGACATGGTACCTTTTTAAAATGGAAAAAATACCCAACACACATTTTTAAAGTCACACAGAATCTAGTACCTGCTAGTAGGAATGTTGTGAACTTCGTAATGGCGTACGGCACCATGGAACAGTGTTAAAGAAATGTCATTTCTAGTACATGATATTCACTGGAACAGATAGAATATTTATATACAGTTTATTAAAATAATGAGAAATTGAATTTAAAATTCTCATATTTATAAATATTTACGAAGTCCAACTTTAGTAATTCATTCTATTTAGTCTGAAGTCCCAAGTTATCAACGGCTTCGTCTTCAGTGTCCTCTCCTATTGTCGGCATATTTTCTTGGTTATTTCTCTCTGTAGACGTTCATACATAAAAGATTGACTGTCTATAACTAAAAGAATATCGTCGATGTCAAAATTGCTACAGACCTTATTGTGTAGTGTATATTATTTAAAGTCAAAATATATTTGATACATTTTTCTTACGATAAGCTTTACGAGTTCTAATTGACCATTGACACCTATGACGATTCAGTACCACATGACCCCTATCTAATTAGTGGAGATTTTTACTTTGAGAACTCTATATAACGGGCGTTTTATTGCCTAATTATGACTGTTTTCGCCTAATTATGACTGTTAATTATGACTGTTATTTCATAATTAAATGATAATTATATGTTTCAAGGATATAATAGTGTGTCATTTTTAAAAAAATTTAGATACGTGATAAAAACCCTTTAAGTTTATATCAACTGAATTCTTCAGTTCAAAAAATCCAAATACTTTGAACTATGAATGAGTTGTTTTCTCTCCTATGCTCAGTAGCATGACAGATTTCTTTAGATTTCTTTTCTACCTGGTAATTCATTTGAAAAAAAATGTCCAGGATGAAAAAATTCATCTTACTTAACAGTGTCATTTAAAATACTACAGTATTCATCAAAAAAAGATGATTGTCATGAAGTTTACCATCAACTCCCAGAGCCTTTGAGAACTTCTGCATGTTGTCTTCATTGTTGAGGACAATTGCCTTGTATAGGTTACACATAGATTGTCTGTCTTGTGGTGATAGTTTGTCGTAAAGTCCGTGGTCAAGCAACACCAGCTGAGCTTTACCTTTAGCATCCTTTCTAATAAACACTGTCAACAATAAATAATAAAAAAAATTCTCATCCAAACAAAATTGTGCAAACTCAAAAGGTACATATTACAATGTACAATGTATCTAAGTCCTTGCAGTTCTACACATACTTCAGAAAATAGCATAAAAACAAATTACAAGAATTTTACTACAACATCTTAATCTGACTTAATATCTCATTTTTTAGAATATCGATTCCAGTACCGGTACTTTAATTTTAATAAATATTTTTTTTATATTTGAGAGTCCATCTGACTCTGAAAAGTGACATTTTACCGTTGCCTGGATGAGGATCTGCATGGACAAATCCAGACAGGAATATCTGGTCAGCAAATGCCCTACATAACTTCGTGTCAACCTAAATAAACATTAAAATTATTAATTCAAACTAAAATATATTTTGCTTTGTATTTTGTAGTTTCATTTCATTCCTTTCATTGATTTACAATACAAAAGAGCAATAAAGACTTTTTAAAAAATGGTCCATGGGCCACATTGCTGACCTGAGTCACTTTGGCCCTTATTTAATTCATCAGCAGATGTTTTTTTCCTATATACATGTATTCCTATGTAAAACTCTGGTCACCTTTTGTGGCCCCACCCTTCAACAAGGGGCAATATCTTGAACAAATTTGAATCAACACTACCCAAGGATGCCTCCATATAAATATGAGAATCATGGCTTAGCTGTTCTTGAGAAGATTTGTAAAGGTTATTCCTATATATTCCCTTGTTAAACATTGATCACCAAGTGTGGTCCCACCCTACCCCCAGGGGCATTGATTTGAATCACCACTCCCTGAAGATGGTTCCATATTAATATGACTAATTATGGCTTTGCTGTTTTTGTAATTGTTTTTTTTAATACTTCATAATAAACTCTGTTCACAAAATATGGCCCCACCCTATCCCAGGGGGGAAGGGGGGATGATTTGAACTTACTTGAATCTACACTACCTGAGGTTGCTTCCATATCATTATGACTAATAATCATGTCTTTGCTGTCATTGAGAAGATTTTAAAATAATTATATTTTATCTTCTTTTGTGGCCCCACCCTATCTCCAGGGGTCATGATTGGAACAAACTTGAATATAAAGTAGCTGAGGATGCTTCTGTATAAATATGACTAACCATGGTGATTTGTAAAGATTTTTCCTATAAATTTTTATATAAAACTTTGATTCCCTCTTGTGGCCCCACCCTACCCAGAGGCCATGATTTGAACAATTTAAAATCTACACTACCTCAAGAAGCTTCTACATAAGTTTCACCTTTTCTGGCCTAGTGGTTATTGAAAAGAAGATTTTTTAATGACCCCACCGCACCCTATTTTTGCTTTTTCTTGATTATCTCCCCTTGAAAAGGGACACAGCCCATCATCTCGAAAATTTAGAATCCCCTTTAACCAAGCATGCTTTATGCAACCTTTGGTTAAAATGGCCAAGTGGTCCATAGGAAGAAGTCAAAAATGTTCAAAGTTTCCAGAAAGATGGATGCATTGACACTAGACTAAGGGTGATCAGAAAAGCTTACTTGAGATTTCAACTCGGGGAGCTAAAAATTCAGTACTACAAACACCAATACCATATGTACTGTTGTTAAAAGAATGCAAAAAATAGGGAAAAATTAGGTGAAATTTACGCTTTTTTGGCCATCTAAAATTTTAAGTTACATACATCATATAATGATAGTCCCATCTTCTCAATAGCCTTTTTATCACTTATCTTGTGTCCATCTATGAACTCAGCAGTAAGAACTCTCTGAAAGCCAAAATTTTTACTCTTTTAAACTAAAATAAATACCAATTTCCATCTATTTTAAAAAGAGGATATTTAAATCTGTGTATCAATTTGACTTAAATTCTATTTCAAGATTCTGCCACTCATTTCACAGAAATTCAAATACAAAATATTATCATTATGAAAACAGAAAACAAGAGAAAAAATATGCTGATCTACTAATTGGAAGCAAATACATGACTTACTGTTGAAGTTTTGTCCCAGTGAACTTTTGGCACATAAACATACTTTAAATGTCCTAGATCACTTTGACACCTTTCTGAATTTTTCCCTTCATTTACAAAGTCTAATTCTTGTTCTAATGTGTCCTTTAGGTCCTATAAAAGAAAATAGCACTTTTTGACATATTTTCTAAATAACAGACTCAAAATAAATATATTTTCTCTCTGTTTCTCTTGCAATACATATTAATTAAACCTGTAAAGCCCATGCAAAGGCAAACTTGGGATGCATCCATCCAATTAACTTCAGTATAATCTCACAAGTCCGTACATCACCAGCAAACCTGTCCTGTAGGTCTATGTACTGCACCTAGGTTTCACAACAAAAAAATTAATTATGATGTATCATGTCATATACCAGTACTCTTTTTCATTTAAAATTGCAAAAACAGGCAAAGTATAAACTTTCTTGCAGCAAAGATGAAAATATTTATTAACAAAGAAATACTTATCAACAAATTTCTAATTGACAAAAAAATAATCATTGATATATTTATCTGTAAAATAAAAGTTATTTTGATGTCCTTCTTGAGGATGCCAAAGTCATTTTTCTTTTTTCTTTGAAGTATTTCTTTGTACATTTTTATAACTGTGAACTATTTACAAACCTTGACCGCCACTTTCTGTCCATCATGAGTTTCAGCTTTATGAACCTGAGCTAAACTGGCTGCTGCTATTGGCTCCTCCTCAAAACTCTTGAAAATTTCCTGAGGTGTTTTACCAAAATCCTCAGTAAAAAGCTGATCTATCTGAAAATATATCCTGGTACATGTACACATGATGTGAATGATTTAATACTTTTTTTAAAAAGACAGTTATATGCCCTGAATCATATACTGGCAAATTTTCTGCCAAGCAAAGAATTTACTCTTAAAACAACATGGGTATTGTTTGTGTTTAAGTCTAAAGTGATCCATCTACATGGTTTAAGTAGGCAATACTGAAGAGGATAATTTTTCAAATGCAAATTTGAGTATGAAAGATACGTCTTATAATTGGTACGTCTAAATAGTAATATAAATTTTTGATTCCCTATAATTAATTATAATTTAATTCAGTCATCAAGAATAAGTATGGTAAGATGAACTCTTGCTAAAAAAAAAAATGCTGTGCAATACTGTAGATTGATCAACAAATTTTCGAGAGCTTACTCTCATGAAATAGGCACTTGCCACTACTTGGCTTTTGAGACAAAATTTTTGTGAATTTGGGCTATTGCTCATACAATCTATACTAATGAAATATATGTGAAAATGAAATTTTCGCAAGCATATGATCCAGCAAAATTATGCAAAAATAAAGTATTCACAAATAAAAAGTGATTTACAGTAAACACACATTATTCTGATTATTATGCTAAAGTCATGTACATATATAAATATAGAGTTATTTTGTGCTAGTGACATATTAGTCTGCATGGTAGGTGGTTAGAGAGCAGGTCTTGGAATATAAATGAGGTCCTGTGGGGTAGTAGATGCTGGCACGAGGGCCAAGTACAGGTCTGATTAGCAGCATTCCACAATTAAGTAATTAATGGCGTGCCAGGCCAACATGAGTGAAATATTCTCAAATGGATGTAATGCAAACAACCAACTAAGCAATTTTAAGCAAAGTAGTTTCCTTGCAATGTGATTGGCCATATAAAATTTTTTAAAATATATTTTAAAGTACTTACATCATGAGCTTTCTTGGGAAGAGCTTTATCTTGAAGAACTACTAGTGTTTCTAAATATTCTCTGGGCAGTATGTGGTTCATTGATACAAGGCCTTGTCCTAGTTTTACATACAGTCCTCCATTAGCTAAACAACCTGCCAATAAACGCTCTGCTGCCCTTTTATGACAAGGACTCAAAGCTTCGTTATATTCATCTGAGTCTTCTTTTAACCCCCATAAGTTGTACTTGTAATCCAAAGAAATTATTGTTCCAATTGAAAGAGATCTGAAAGATATACAAAGAGAAATCATTAAATTATTTTTACCATGTTACTGGGAATATATATTTTCATACTTCAAATTTTCACTTAATTCTTTCCACTTTGCAGGGTTTTTAGATTGGAACAAGTAACTATAAGTAACTATAGGACACCTGGCATATTTACTAGAAAAAATATATGTCTGCTCAATGTTGAGTTTACAGACTTCTGAATTTTTATCAACAAATGGTCAATGGTAGTCTGAAACCCTGCTTTGAGAACAACTCAAAAAACTCTTTAAAACAAAAAGATCTAGCACTTTCTTTTCTGATCAGAAAAAATGTTCTTCAAATTTTACCTAACAACATACAGAATCATGAAATTCTGTTAAAACTATTTAAAAAAGTCACATGGTGGAACAGACAAAATGTAATTTATACCTCACATATTCTACATTATAAATTTAAATTCCTTTTACCTATATGTAATCTTTAATGCAATTAAATCATATATATGATAATTCGATCGTGTTTTAGAGAATCATACGTACCTAAAAAATCTGTTTATTCCACCAAAGAGCACTCTGACTTTCCGTTTTTGGGGTTCTTCAGCTATAGCATAGAGAACACCAGCAGACAAAGTCACAGCAACAAATCCATATTTCAAGCCACTCCTCAGGCGGCTCCAGCCACTGACTTTACCAGTGCCAGTCTTCTGTCTCAATACTCCTGATTTGTGAAACCCATTTTGGAATAACTGATTGTGTCTAGAGAAATCCCTCAGTGACTGACAGCAAATACAGGATCTTGATAACAACTTCTCCATCTAGGGCAGTTCCTTTCTGAAACTATTGTATAATACTAACATGTGTATCAGGAAAAGAGAAAAATGTGACAGACAAGACCAGGATTCAAATACTGGCCCCCTGATTCACTAGTCAGGTGCTCTGCCTACTGATCTATCTTGCCATCAGCAATCGAACCTTGAATGCCACACAAGTTATCAAGTATCCCACAAATCTGACAAGAGCAACATGTATGAAGACAATAAATACTAAAGCAATAATTTTCAAATTTGCTGTACGATTAGTATTTCAAGTACGTGAAATTTATTATTATACATAGTACCACGTTTCAACCTACCAGCAATACTCTATCCTACCAAAATTACCCTATAAAAATATCAATTTAACATTATTTTAAACATTATCCAGAAAAGCGTCTGTAACTTTATGAACGTGTAATTTATCTTCAAAAAAATTAAATCAAAACAATAAAAATATGATAAAAATAACATAAAATTATCCAGAACGAAAAATTAATGGCATGTTGGACATATTAGAATCTTATGCAACAAACATTTTAGTCTTTGGTCTGCTGGTCTGAGCAGGGATAACTTAAAATTTCACTACTAATGAAAATGTAAGTACATATTCTTGGTGCACTGAATTTCTACAAGAGAAAATACTTAAACTACCTTAATTACTGCTCAATCATTATAGTCTAAATCTCGAATGAACAAAAAAGTCACACTGCTCACTCTTGTCACTGGCAGACAGCTTTGCATAACCTACATAATTACACCTTTACAAACTGGAGAGTTTATAATAGCACTGGTTCTCTACCCTTGATTCCAGTCGCTGCCGCTAGGAATTTTTTAGGACGCTTGTGCCCGTTAACCAATGTCAGGGTACCAGTCAAAGTTTATAATCTCTCTAGAGTTGTCGTTCTTTTCACTCGCACAAACCTTGTGCACAAACTGCACATTCTGCAGAGAAAACCGTTTTATTTATGTCAGATAATTAGCACTGATTAGTATACATTTTTAAAAATAACCCTCTATACACCATGATCATGACAGTTAAAGTTCTTTATGCAGTAAGCATGGTAATCTTGAATAAATAAAAAAAAAATTAATTGAACTAGCTGCATGAATTACATGTACTCATATTATATTATTGTTGCATTATAAACATTTTATTAGATCAAGTAAAATTATTTGCATGTATTTTCCCAAATTCAAGTAACAGTGATTTTTATTCATCAATACTTCGTATTCTTTGAACATTTTTCCTAGGGACAGAGGCATAAATCACTTGATGAATATCCGCGCAAGCTCGGAAATAAAAATTGATACAAGGCCAATTCTTTCTAAGTCTTTTATAAGTTTATGAAAGTAATTTCGCAATCAGAAAACTAATTAAAAATTCTCTCGTGCAATATTTTTAAAACCAACAATCCCAAAAGTAGGAACTTTTTCATTATAAGTCTTACTTATACGATTTTATATAATGGTACTATTGTATTAATTTTGAAACATCTAAGTACTGTCTTTAAACGTTTTTAGTGAAAATGAACAGATGCCTTGTTTTCGCAGACACGTGGTATCGGGTGCAGGGGGGGGGGGGCATTTGCCTCCCCCAAAATTTTCCCCCACCCCAAATTTACCAGTCTTTAATAACTTCAACAAGTAAGTTAACTGCCGATTGAACAAGTGTATTGAGGTGGGGCGGGGGGGGGGGGGTGTAAAATACATTGCTGATCATTGCTTGAACATATGAAAAAGAATTTTTAAGTGAAATTAACTGACAAATTCTTACTGAAATATTTTTCTAGGGTTTTTAACCATCATACCGTCTTTAGTGTTTTTGGGGGGGGGGGTAAAGAAAAATTAAAAAAAATTACAGTGAGGCACATATATTTCTTCAAGTGACAATTAAAAGTTTGTTTAATTTCAACTTTTCAAGACCAGCACACTGATGAATGTATGCTACTTTTAACTGACATGTTATACAGAAACAAGCACAAAACCTTTTTGGAATTCTTTAAGATTTTTTTTTCAATGTACATGAATTAATATATTCAAGCTTTCGTGAAATTGATCTGTTTTATTCTCTGATTATAAATTAATTTAACTGTAATGTTAAATGTTGTTCATTTTTTGACTGACTGGCTATTTCGAGGGGAAACTGGAATAAGAGGTCACCTGTCTTAAGTGGCCAGTTTCCAAACTTCCCAAAGGTGGTAAAACAGGTTTGACTGTATACTCAAACAAATATTTTTAATCACAACAGATAACTCTATTTTAGAATATTTAAAATTATTTCAACTGTATACATTTTTTTAAAATCTTTATAATAAATTCACTTCATAATTAATTTTTATAAGAATATTCAAGTTTTTGATTTAAAAAAAAATTACATTATTGAAAAACTTTAACCTTTGCCAAAACTTTTGAACGGTTGGTGCTAGGGCTTTCATTTTTCACATGTATGTTTCTTGTGAGAAAACCTTTCCTTGGGCACCATTAATTTTGTTCATTTGACCTTGACCTTGATTTTTGACTTACTTTTGAAAAATTTGAACCTTTTCCATATCTGTTCAATGGTTGCTGCTAGGGCTTTCATAGGAATTTTGACAAGTTCTTCCACCTTTATCAGGTATTGAATGAATTTTCAGAATTACAGCAGATTTTTTTTTCCAGAACACGAATTTTTTTTCCGGAATGGCCCTGGGTAATAAGAGTGGGACTCCGGCATTATTATTACTATATTGTGACGTCACCGTTGTTTTGATTGGTATTACGTCAGTTGTAGTTACGAATCATTTTCAAAGCATCAGCTGGAGGGGACAGACGTTGTTCGCTCCTAGCAAAATTTTTGTGGGAAAAAAGTATCTTCAATAGACTCCAATCGCCTGCAAGATGACAAAAGAGACAAATAAGAGGGTAATGCCTCTTTTTTGAAAGTTTTGCCAGAAAATACCTCTACGTTGCTTTCTTTACTGATATTTTGATTATCAGCTGAGATGGCATCATCTCCGAGATCAGTATTAATTTTAATCTGTAATCGTTGCACCCTTATTGAAACATTGGATAATAGACATCCCATTTCATTGCCTTTGCTAACACAAATTACCTGTAAATAATGCCAATATATTTCATTTAAATCATGTATGGTACTGGATAGCCCCCCCCCCCCTATATAACATGGGGGGGGGGGCTATTTATATTTCGAGTTTTAAGTTGATAAATTATGAGGAGTGGAAGTACATTAGTGTTTGTGGAATTATTTTCTTATAGTAGTTCTCAAAACTAAGACAACTTTGTTTTTAAAGTTCTATCTCAGAAATCTTGTTAACAAAAATAATTCTTGAAATTGATTTGTGAATGGGAACCAAATACACAACTTGACATTTGACATCAGTCTTTGATCAAATTGAAGTGAAAATCTAAATATTCGTAATATATACGGTAAAGTTATCAAAAAATGATAGCAAATTAGTCACTAGCATATCTTTTTCAATTGTGAGGTGTGTGAGTTGAGTGTTTGAGTTGAATTTTATGTTTGTTTGTTTTTCAGAAAGTTGATGATTCTGCCATTGCAGACTGTACATCTGCATTTAAGAAAATGGCTTTATCAGCCACTGCAACACATCCTGTGGCATCTGATGAGGTTCGAGATTTTCTACCTTTTCTTTGCCTCTTGTCAATCTTTCTTTCTCATTGAAGTATTCGAGCATAAGTACATGTATTATAATATTAGAGTACGAGTTTCAAATATGATCAGCTACCACAACTACATATAATTGATATGGATCCATTACGTAGTATTTTTATTTGTTATACGTTTGTAGACTGAACCACAGCGTACCAAGAGTCGACAAAAGACTAGATCTTGGAGGCGAAAGGTAAAAATATAAGTTTATGTTTAAACAATAATTTTTTGCTTCCAAAGTCTTGAAGTTTATCTCCGTCAAATTTTTGTATGAATTTCATGACGTACTGAGAATATTTTAGACTTATTTATTATGAAAGCGAGTTCAGAAATTTCTTTTATCTGAAAAGTTATCAAAAACTTCAAATGTTTGCTCCTTGCTCTTTCACGTACCAAAAATTTATTCCTAATCCTAAATATTTAGAAAAGTGGCATACATATGGGGAAATCTTTGGTTTATTTATAAAAATATATTTAATAAACTATAATCAGAAAAAGTAACAGAAATGTAAGAAAAACAAAAACAACACACAAATATTGTCAGTTCGTGACAAGTCCGTCGGATGGACCGTGTCAAGGATTACACTCCGCCTTGGCACACAAAGATCGTTTGTTTTAGAAAAAAGAGTACTCTTACTGGGGGCGCCAGAGAAACTAAAAAAAACTTCAAAAACCGGTCACAGGAAATGAATTTTACCACCGAAATGCTTCCAATGTGGCTATAATACTGCACGACTCGGCGATAACCAATATAACAATCAATCAATCGTGTCCAGTGCTAACAAATCGAACACACCCAGTAAAACATAAACAATAACAGAGCTCGAGACAATATTTATAATTATAGGATATGCCGTTGTCATTGATTGTATGAATAAACCTGAAGTTATTTTTAAAATAAGTAAATTTAAAATTGAGAAAACGGCTATGCAACTGATTTGTGCCCCTTAAAGAGGCTGGGGGGTTGTGGCCATTTTTGGACTATATTTATCTCCTTTAGAAGAAGAGCTCCATATGAAGATATAGAAAATGATCAAATTTTAAAACTAAAATTTTTGAAATTTTTCTTTGCCAAATGATAGTTGACAGCTTAAAATATCATATCTTAAAAATTAAGTTAAATCTGGTGGTTAATTTGTTGACCCCCCAGCCTCCTTAAAGGTATTTCTGTCATTTCCTGTTTCAACCATAAATATGAATACTGCTTTTGTCATTCCAAAAGACCAACATTCAAATGATATATATTGTAAACTAGAGGAATTATTCTTTTAAATAGACACAGTCTCGCCAGGTGGACAGTACCAAAACTCAATCAAAGACGAATACTTTGACAATCAGTCTGGGGGATCAGATTTCCGCCATGTTGAAGATCATTAGAGCGGAAACTGTAAGTAACAATTACAATGCTTTTTGAATGTTTCTTCAATTAGCTTATGGGATAGGAACTTTACATTAGTGTTTCACTTAGATGTCAAAGGTCAAAATAACTGCTTTTAAATTATTAGTTTACATCGTGTTTCATTTCAACATTTTTTTTTTATTTTTGCGTAGGAATCAGAAATACAAGCAGCCCCCACTCCCGCCACCAGTTTTGTCGATGTTCGTCTGGCTAGTGCTGATGAGCAAAAACTTTCCAGAAAAATGGTAAAGATGTCTATTTATTTACTTCTTAATACTGAAATATAGGTTATTTTTACATCTTTCAGTATAGTTACATCTACCATTTTCTCTCAGGAAACTTGAAATTTTATATTCCTTACCACGAAAAATAATTTCCTACCTAATAAATCATTTATTAGGTACATGTAGGGGGGTATATAATCATACGGTTTTTTTTGTTTTTGTTTTGTTTTGTTTTTTGTGATAAGAAAGTAATATCAAATACATGAGTCATGCAGACTATATGCATCTTAAAAAACACATTTTCATACAAAATGACCTGTACAACATGCACGTTTGAGATTGGAGTAATAATGAACTTGATGAATAGATAAATACATTGTACTCGTCTATTTAATATATTCTAGCAGAGCAAAAATGCACAAGAAAGGAAAGCTGACAACTGCTTAGACGAGAAGGGGGTTTCAGAGGAACAACTATCCTCTAAGACAGATGGGCTTGGTGTGGAGGCAAAGTCTAGTGCTGAAGCTGTGAGTACATACACTTTTTATACCTTGTATCAACTGATATTCTATAAGAGATTGTTTGGTTATTGATTGCATTAATTACGTTCCTTCGAGAATATTTCTGTCATGTTAGGAAGCTCTTAAAGGGTACACATGTAAAACATGAAGTCTTGATAAGTTATACACCTAATATATCTCTTAGTGCTTCAATGTGCTAAAATATATAACATGTAAATTCATTAATTATACGATTGTACACAGGTCAATACAGCGACTTCAACTCGGTCTCCGGCAGCCAGCTCTGTTGGGACACATGTGTCTTCTGAAAACCAGAAGAAACTGGTCAGAAAGTCGGTACGTGATCGTTATTCACCTGATGTAAAATTTGTTTTCATTGATTAAATTTTATCAAAGCATTCAAATGATAAGGGCCCATAATGAATATGCACAGTACATGATACATAAATATTCATTAAATTGTGTGTTTTATGACACATGTACGTGTATTACAGTACAAAAAATTATCATTCCAACTGAAAAGTTCGCCATATATACTAGTATATAACAACATTTTTTTTTACGATGTTAATTAAAATTTCCTAAATAAATTGAATAGTTAATGAATATCTTTCTGACGAACTATTTTCTATATGTGTTCAATAACTTGTAAATTATAACATGATCATTTCTCATTTCTGGATTCATTGTTTTATTGTAAATACATATAGTATGCATAATAAATTAATTTTATATATAAATCTATCCAGTACGAAAGCCTAGAAAGGTCAAATAAGAAAATTAAAAAAAGATTAAAAAGTCGTAATAATGAGATAAAAAGTCGTTATTACAAGATAAAAAGTCGTTATTACGAGATAAAAAGTCGTAATTACGAGATAAAAAGTCGTAATTACGAGATAAAAAGTCGTAATTACGACTTTTTGTCTCGTAATAACGACTTTTTATCTCGTTTTTACGACTTTCTTAAGTCGTAATAACGACTTTTTATCTCGTAATTACGACTTTTTATCTCGTTATTACGACTTTTTAATTTTTTTTATTTTCTTATTTGACCCTTCTAGGCTTTCGTAATCAAGTAAGTCAGAACTTTAAATATTTAGCCATTTTCAATTCATCTTTTTTTTTTAGAAACAGATCTCTCGAAAAAGAGCGAGGCGGTCTGGTCCGGATATGTCTTCTAAGCGGACAAAATCTGCATGTGTTGACGATGGCATGTTGGATCGACTTGTTCGTCTGTTTGCCAAGCTGGCTTTATAGGCAGAGCATTACTGCAGCTGATGTGCACATAACTATAGCAAACATACTTTGTATGATTTTGAATATATACTTTATGTATATATTTTAATTATATACTATGTATATATTTGTTCATGAATTTAATTATATACTATGTATATATTTATTTTATACTATGTATAAATATCAAAATGCCTGACACTTGAGCAGACATTTTTTTTTTTTGATTTTTTTAAAAGCATGCAGGCATGACTTTGGAATTTGATAAAGTAGTAAAATCTAAAAAGGGCTGGAATTATTTTTGAAACACGTTTTTCTATTTAGAAATTGATCTTATTACACTTACCAAACATATAGTTTGATTTATTCATTCAATGCACGTTTTCATCAATTATGTAATAACTATTGATTTTTTTAATCAGTGATTTGTGTGCTACATTTCTTTTTACTAAGCATTTTCTAGACAATTTTTCAAATGTTCATATGCAGCTCACCATTATACCAATCTTCAGTTTATTCAGTTTTAGCTTATCGTAAATGCTATTATTATTATTTTTTTTTTTTTTGTGGTTCTATTTTAAGATTATTATAATTTTTTTAATGCTTTATTACTGATCATAATTTATGAATATTTTCATTTTTCCAATAAACAGCTAGAAACAACTGAAGTTTATGTGTTTTGTTTATTCATATTTATTTGTCCTCAATACCCCCAGAATCCCGGATCTCGAAGTTCTGTTACATGTATTTTCTATTTCGTAGCAAACATATTCCATTTTTTTGTTTCGCACATCAATTCAATTGATAAGAGCAATAATTGTTTCGATGCACGTATTAATCAATTTTCGCACCAATTCGATTAATCGACGCATCAATTCAATTGTTTACCTCAGTGATAGGGAGGATTTGTTACTCGCAAATGAATTCACCACGGTAGTCCACAATATAAATGATTGAATTCTTGAATTCATTCGAAAATAATTATAATAAAAGGAATTAATGCGAGCATCAATTCTTTTTTTAAAGTGAGCACCAATCATTAATTCAATAAAAGAGCGCACAATTCAACCATTGTGCGCAATAATTCAATTGATGATGCGCAATAATTAAAATTTTGAGTGCATTAATCGAATCATTACTCTTTTCAGTTGATTTATTACGCACATCAATGCAATTATTGCTATCACCAAACTCATTTGAAGAAAGAAACAATTCAATTATTGCGCGCTCAAATTAAGCAAATTAATGAATAATATCAACAAAATTAATGAGTCATTCCGCGCAATACTAGTAATTCAGATTTGAAGATATCATTAGTTTTCCCGGGGCTTGTCTTCCGGATATATATATAGATATATATATATATATATATATATATATATATATATATATATATATATATATATATATATATATATATATATATATATATATAGATAGATAGATAGATAGATAGATAGATAGATAGATAGATAGATAGATAGATAGATAGATAGGTGTACGTTTTTTTAAACATGGTATTTCTTGTCTGAAAGTGGCAGAATCTTTATCGTAGCAACTTTTTAAGTGTATTTAATTTAAAGTAGATACAAATTTTAATTTATTTTACATTTATCAATCGGGAAGACACTTAAAGGCCGAGGTTTTCAACCGGTCGGTTTTCCTCAGGTAAATTTGGTGTGGGGTGGAGCTTAATTGATACGGCTGTGAAGCCCCGAGGAAACCAAGCTGGCTTGTATATACCTACCTATATACACAGGATGTTACCTGTATATTACCTGTTAATATTTTACTAATACATATAGTTTAACTTCGCGCGTTGGTCAATCGAAATGTTGATCGTCAAATTTATGAAATAAAACATGCTAAATTTTTTATGTAGACTGATTCCTTTAGTTCAATTCTTTTTCTTAAAAATATATGTTTGAATAAAGGAGACAATTTTAGTTTAATTTTGTGCGTTAATAAATTTCAAATCTTTTGGTTGTAAGCTGGCGACACCGAGGGAAATAGTCATTCGCAAAACGAAAGTAGAAAAAAGCGCGGTCCTGAATAATTAAGTCTCTTAAACTTTGAAATCCTGTTTGAAGGCTAAATTTTGTAGAAAATATATAATAAATTAAATAAATATTTTTTTGTATAATTCCTATAAGTGATTAACCAATGACGCATGGATGTTTCGTAAAAATGGTCATGGCATCGTATTGTTTCTCCGAGAGGTAGACGGAACAAGAATACAATCACTTTATCATACTTTTTTCCTCGGGATCCATAATTCTAAACTTGTATATGCAATGACAGCTTTTATGAAACTGTTTATTTCTCTTTAAGACTGGTTATTTTACCGTAACTTTCATCACCATGTCTCGAAGAAATATTACACCTCTTAAAATTTTTAACTTGGACAATATGACTATATATATGACTGATATTCTTTTTCATTTATTTAATTATTTGACAGACTGATTAAATATAAAATAAAAATGGCTAATTACTTTATCATAAAATAATAAAAAAAAAATAATATCAGCTCTGGCTGCTTCTTTATCACGATGTTATAAATTATATGCGTTAGGCATCAAAGACTGAATGTTAATTCATTGATCGTTACGATCCCCAGACAAGGTATACAAGATATACACAACGGCAGGTAACAAAATGTCAATCAATTTTCAGTATCCAATCTCAGGCTTAATGTCATCTGATTGACAGGGGTTCACAGACCAGGTAAAATAGAGGGAGGTGCTTATTTCCTCCCCCTTTAAGCTCCTATGGAATGAAGGAGATTTTTTTTTCTTTGAGTATGTATGGAAGATATGCTGACAGGATAGCTGTTCTGAATCCTTTCAAAAATTTCAAAAATTAAATCTTTTGTTTCGGCTCCAAAATGACTACATGGACAACTGTTTATTTTTCTCCAGCTACCCATTCTTTGTTTTCTTTGTGGGAAAGGGGGGTGGGGGTGATACTAGATCCAGGAGTATTCTCAGCTTCCAACAGCAGGTTATTTCAATATGTTTAAGCAAATGTAGCATAACATTCACAACATCAACCAGTGCTGAATAACTTATCACTGAGGTTTTGAGTTTTTCTTTGAAGTATTTTTTACTCACCCAAATTAAGAGAGGAGTTCTATCTGTATGTTTTAAAATCCTGCATTTAGAGGAAAAAATCTAATGTGGCCAAGTTGTTATTTGTGTAGATATTTATGTACAAGTAATGATTCGGAATTTTAAAGGAAAGAAAATTTCTTGTTTTTATGTGAAATTTAAATAGGCGAAAACACGCGGTCTTTGTTCTAAGTATATTTGAGAAGGGCATCGATTTAAGAAATAATACCCACGTCGGAGGGATTGTTGGAGAATATACCCCGATAGTCGAGAGATATTGTGGGCAAAATAAAACCGTACGGAAGCGTATTAGTGCCACGTAATATATATATATTTTTAAAGTTGGTAATTCCAACTTAAATCTTGGCTTTTCCAATTTTAATTTGAGCTTTTCTAGCCTTTTCCGTAGCCTTTTTCCCCTTTGTTTTAAATTATTACCAACTTTATTAATGCAAAATTAATACACTGAAATAGATTGGTGAGCAATTATTTTTTATCTTGAACTTCCCTATGACCTTACGTATTACTTCTAACTTTGAAAACCCCTATAATTTTTTTGGGTCCATCTTTTATAATTATACAGGGAATAACTCCATACAACTCCCTACATGACAGTATTTCAGCCAAACCTGTTTAAGAGATCAGACATATATATTTTGTTTTGTAAGAGAGAACAAGCTTAAACATAATATATGATCATAAAATAGGACAGATCCCACCCTTCCATGCTTATAGTAATAAATGGGAATTATGTATAAATATACTGAGTATTCAACACCTACACATGTGATATGTATTCAATTTCATTCAATCTTTTTCTATTAGGGATGGGATACCTTAATAATAATAACTTATTAAACATTTTCAGTTTCCACCGTTTTAATTATCTAAATGTGCAAAAATTCAAAATAAAGTCTTCTTTCTTCTTCATAAGTTATTAGAAAGATTAAGTTTTAAAACTCTTCCCAATTAGTTTTAAAAATAGCGATTGTTAAGAAAAATTTGATCTCACAATTATCTTTTAATTTCTATTAATGAAGTCTTAAACTTCTTCTCATAAAAATATAGGGAAGATTAAATATGTGAAATATATAAATCTTAAAAATATCACACAGGACTGAATCATTATGCCTCTGACCTTCGATATCACAAAACATGATTAGCTCAAAACCTTTACCTGTGTCTTTTGTTGTTTGCTAGTGTCAACAAAGCATTCACAAAACGAGGCTTTTTACAATAAAACAAGGTTTTTAAAACAAGTCTATACACGGTAATACCATCTTCTATCCTTCACCCTCCCTCTCCCCACTCCTTCCCCACACCTCTCTTTCCCATTCTCCCCCTCCCCACTTTCTCTTCTCCCTCCCCACCTAATCTCTCTCTCGTCTTTCTCTCTCTTCCCGAACCCTATCCCTCCCCCTCTCTCCACCCCCTCTCTCTCACCACTCTCCCTCAAACCTAACCTCCCCCCCCATGTCCACCCTCTCCTCCCCCCCTTTCTCTCGCCCCCTCTCTCCCTCTCCTCCCCCTCTCTCCCCTCCCCCTCCTCCCTACCCCTCTCTCTCTCTCTCAATCCTTCTCACTCTCTCCCGCCCTCTCTCTCCCCCCACTCTCTCGCCCCCCTCTCTCTCCCCACTATCTCCCTCTCTCTTTATTTTTTTTTTTGGACCGTCTGACTCATTTATTTTTAGGACTTGTGGGAAAAAAAAATCATATATGCATAATACATAGATGTTTCAAAGTTATTTACAATAAAATTAATGGAAAAAATACTTATTCCAGAATAAAGACAAAATTCTTACTGTTAGTAGAAAAGAAATTATAAAATGTTTATTCTTGATCTTTTTACTTTAAATTGGATTTGGCAAATTTGTTTATTTTTGCAAAAAAATGAATGCAGTTTTAAATTATAAGGGCGATAACTTCAAACAACATACAATACTGCTTCC